ATGTGGTAGACGGTCTTTGGGACGAAATTGTGAGGTTGGGGTAGATGATATTAAATTGACTGCTCTCTCTGTGTCGATGTCTCCCTCTTTTCACACAAACACCATAAGACATTACCTTTGGTTTATGAATGTCATCAGTGATAAATTAGTCCGATAAATCCTAAAGATTTCTTAATTATGTGAATATAAAGTCGGTAATTCTGTAATAATAAAACGTTCTTTACCTGGGTACTGAAGGTCATTAAGTCATTAAGAGAAAAGGTGGAAGGCGTTATTAGCGGTTTGGGCAGCAGAGAGTGGGCGGGGCGTCGACTCGCGTGTTTAAGTTGCGGAAGTAGAGGAGGGCGGAACTGATAACCGTAGAGTGAGGAAGAAGCCAGTAGTCGTTGTAGGGGAGTTGTCTGAGGTCGCCAGGTCTTGCGTCGCGGTCTGAGGGAGTGGGTGTGGTTTAGGTACGAGTGTAGGGGGGCCAGGAGTTTTCTAGGTGACGAGGGGCAGAGTGTGGACGTAAGTATGTTTGAGGGACCAGGAGTGGACATTCGGGAGGTGGTAGATCGTGGGGGATGGAGTGACCTGGAGGGATTGTAGGAGATGGTTGGGTGGACACGGCCAGGAGTCTAGGTGAGAGTCGGGCGAACGAGATTAGGGGTTCCGGTTTGAGGCCTCGAAGCCCTGTCTCGGAAGGAGTACACGTCGGGGTCGTGTCGAGACCTTGAGGGAGGGGGTTCTGAGGCACTGCAGACTCAGGGGGAGTGGGCAAGGTCAGGCGCAGAGTTGGTTGGTGGAGAAGTTGAGGGCGAATAGGTATTTGGGGCGGGGAGGGGGAGACTGGTTTGTAGGAGGACTGCGAAAGACAAACAACAAACAAAAACAAACACAACAACAAGAACAAAACAAACAGCTGGAATGAGCTTTTTTATTTTTTTTTTTTTTATACATTCGAAAAGAAACGCAGATCTTTTCGCGATATATATTAGGGTAATAATTAATAATTAATAAACAATTTATTCTTGGGTTATTTATGTTTGATTACTTATTATGGGGCCAAAGGAGTTAAATTTGCCGTTTCCATCGGTTTTGTTAGCCCAATTTGGTCTTTTATTGTTGAAAAACTTCGACGTAAATGGGTTCCTTGGCAAGTTGTTATATTGGTAAATTGAAGTGGTAACAATTTGGGTTATCTTTTTCTGGAAAGGAGATTATTCTTTAATACCCTAGGAAATTAAGGGTTTGTTGGAGGTGGTGACCCCCGACTTTAATAAGAAGGGGTTGTGGCCAAACGGACTATTAATTAGGGACATACAGAAATACTACCTCGGGATGGGGTCTCTATAAAAAAAGACTAAATAAAAAACCCTATATTACACCATATATAGCATTCCTAATACTACAAAGGATTAGTAACAGTCGCCACATCAAGTCAGTGAAACGAAAGGTTATTCTTCACACTTTTCATCTCGTCCGATTAGGAGAATGGTCACAAAATAACCGTGTTGGACCATGAAGTCGTCCGAGTCACTTCGTGTTAGTGTTTTGAGTTGTTAGAGGGAGAAGAAAGGACACGTACGAAAGTCACCTTTATTCTGAAACTACAGTAATCATAATGAACCAGTTCACGAATCCGGTCATACCGTCTGTCCGGGGCCACATAGCGCCGAATTTGTGAATACAGCCGGAGGGAGGCCGGTGACAGATATCACCTCAGTCAGTTAGGAGAATGTCAGGGCCGACATTGCATGTTATGGGGCCCCTTTGGTGTGGTGTAGATGAGTTTTCGACGGGAAGTCAAGTTGAAAAGAAATGAGTCACATGTAGACGGTTGCAATAAAAGTAAACGTAGTCTGTGAGACTCAGATAGGACCCCGTATGAAGATAATTTAGTATTTATTATATATGTTCGAAAAATCTTTTTTTATTAATTTATTACAACAAAAGTTGTTACATAGATTATATAAAAAATTTTCTTTACGCAAAACATAATAAAATTCGAAAATGCCAAGATTAAACCTAGAATGGACCTTAAAAGAAATGATATTTCGTGAAGATATCATTGAATAATTCGACACGGATAAGGGGATATAAATACATAATAAAATAATAATAAATAATAATACAAGGTTGTGAAAGTGGACCTGTAGTATAGGCGACAACCTATAGAATAAAGTAAAATTAGAAAAAAAACTGTTAAGAGTAAAGATTAAAAATCGCTCCACGGCACGAGGGGAGAAAGAGAGACCTATACACCTTTCATTTTATAACTTTATTTTCGGTACCACACCAAAAAACAACAACGTCCTACCCGCGGGAGAAGAGTAGTGATGGTTGGTCACAACGTCGTGGCACAGACGTCGTCTCGAGAAGAGGTACTCTCCTTGTACAAAAGCACATGCAATTCACCAAGTACCAATTCAATTGGAAACTAACTCATTACTTCTCGATCTTGAATGAAATCTAAAGACAAAGTACATGTCGGTACTCTGTAGTCGCCGATGATGTCCCACAGGCAGATGAAGGACAGTTCGGACAGGCTGTTAGTGAGACGCGTGGCAGTGGAAAGTGCACTAGAAGTCGACGTAGCAGATGAAGTACTAGCCTTGCTACTTTTTTCTTCACGAAATCTGGCTTGACAGTCTCTTAGGCTAATTTGTTGTAGGAATTGTAATATGAGGAAACTAATAAAGTTACGAACAACACACATACAAACAGGAGGACTTACAAAAAATAGAGAACAAACAAAACAAACATAAAACTACCGCCTCATCGAGATGAGTAGAGTAACATCGACATATTACTGTTATTTCATAAGATAAAGATAAAATTTATATTAAGATTTTCATAAATGTAAGCATGTAAACACAAAGGACGTCCAGACTTTAGGAGGCGGCGTCTCAAGGAGCAGAAGTGACGACTGCGCACTGTCCACGATGTGCCGGTGTTGTTTTTTCTGTTACTGCTACCGGTAGTTTGTGTGCTTGGTTCTGTTCGCACCGGGAGCGAGTTTGTAGAAGTACTGGATTTGTGTTGCAGAAAGTACTACCACTCTTATACATCTGTTCGTCTTTTATAGTGTTGTTCTGTCTTTGTGAATATGGAATTTGTTGTCTACACATGCCTGAGTTTAAGTACAATTATCAGCTGGCCACACTTTTGTTTTTGGAACTCGCCTTTGTGAACATTTTGTTTGTGTTATGTTTCTGTCTTACTATTTTACTTTTTTGTCTGAACATATCATTCGAGAATATCCCCTCTGTTGTGTATATATTGATGTGTTATGTGTATTTATTTTTTGTGTTTTTGACTCGAAAAGACTTGTTGTTTTTTTTGAAACCACACCACAAATACTAAAAAGAGCCAGCACGACCACTTGGAGGGGGTCGTTAGTTACCTGACTATGCTCTCGATTGTACTTATATAGCGCTTTATCCAGTCTTTAAGACCCCTCAAAGCGCTTTACATACTACATGTCATTCACCCATTCACACCCATTCATACAGAGCAGTGTACCTTACTCTAGGACCTAACATTCATACACATTCACACATCGTTGGCCATGCCATCGGGAGCACCTCAGGGTTAAGTATCTTGCCCAAGGATACATCGACATGTTGACTGCATCGAACGCACAACCTTCTGGTTGAAAGACGACCGCTCTCCCTCTCAGCCAGAGTCTCTCACCTGTTCTGGATACCGCTCTGATCGTCTTTGACTCCGAAGAAAATGGCTCCGACGATGAGGGCGAGGAAAATGTTGACTCCCAGCTGCACAGAGAGAAACATGAGAGATTTAATTACAAGCACTGACAGCCATCTAAAAGTCCTGTTTCTGAAAAGAGTTGCAGATCTGAGCCAGGGTAAAAAAGTAATACATGTATTGTCTGACCAATGACCTGCAGCTTGTGGCCTCTTCATGCTTTTCATTCAAATAGAAAATAACAGCTATTAGCGAGGAAGACACACTTAATATGAATCTACTCCCCAGTGAATTAAAGTATAGAACAAAGGTGTAATACATGAACAAAACAATCCCTAAACTCAGTGAATTATCTTTATGCAGAACTGAACTTAATCCCTAAAAGATTCAGAGGTTTCTCTTAATTTCTTACCAAACGATTATTAACTTCTCTCAAGTTACAACATGTTGTCAGAGATTTCCACAATTGATCAGAAGTAGATTCAACCTCCACTCGTGTCTCCTATTTCAACCAATCTGGAAAACAATTGATTCTTTGCGTACGTACAAATAATCCGGTATTCAAAAACCCAGGATATCAGTGCGCCTACATACTTTTACAACTGAAGGACAAACTGCTGGACAACTGCCCGGCGACCACGGAGGAACTGACTTGATCAAAGGTCCCTTTCCTTATCCTTCTGAACAATCAGTGCAGGAATTAATCCCCCCAGTTTGTCTAATATCAGACTGTCATTAATTACATTTGCAGAATGGTAATAAAACTTAAGCAGTGTCCCCTTTGACAGAGAAGATCATTTTTTGCGGGGTCAAGTGGTGGGGGGAAGATAACAGAAAAGAGTGAGAAAAGTGAAAGCGACACAAATTTTAATCCTAACAATTTACAGATTATGACGGGAGTAAAGCGGTTCCCAGGGTGAGGGGATAAGCTAATAGGGTTGAGCCTGTTTCACCTCATTCCCCGCAGCCCCTCATGTGAAAGCGAGGCGGGGGAGTGAAAGGTCTTGATGCCATCATGTGATCAGTCCGGACCGGGGCCAGGGGGCTTTGTCCTGATATGATATCAGTTTAGATCCTGGCCCAGAGAGGCAGAGCGGGGTCGCAGCAGTCACCAAAGCCGATTACGGCGCCCACGCTACCTAGAGCCCCTCTTGTGGGATTGTTTTTGACTTATTGAGGGCCAATTAGCTGTTAATAATTCCTAAAGTGAGTAGACTTCTGACAGCATTTCGCCGCCATGGGGTGACTAATGAGAGCCTTAAGTCCTGACCTCTACTAAGTGCTGTCTACGCATCCTGTGCACCATCACCTCTGCACGGACACACATTGTTGCTCCGCTCTTTGGAGGGTTTGAACAAAGTAAAAGCGATAGTGGCACAACCTTAAACCTTTAACCTTAAAACAGAAATCTGAGACATAAATATATCCGTCGGAGCTGTAGACTTGAAATCTGGACCTGAGATGTACTAAAAATCACAAAGTAAGGACTACATGTTTAAAATAAACAATGCTGTGCATACTCTATGACATTATGAGGATGACTTAATAAACTTGTAACTGGGATAACATCATTTAATACATACTTTAAATTCAAAATGTGTCTGCTACCACCAGTTTATATCAGATATGTAATTGTATCGCTATCTACATAAGAATTGCTATTATACTATCTGTAAATAGAGTGCGGGTTTATGTGTCAGTAGAGCTTTGTATGTACTTTGTATTACAAGAAGACAATACATGAAGTTATAAATTAGAACAAATATATATCTGATACATAAACAAGAAGCATAAAGCAATAATTTCACATTTAAAAAAATGCACTTCACTTTTTGGTGTAATAAATGGGTGGATCAATACCGCTCTTATTGTTTTGAATGTTCATTAAATTGTAAATTAGCAGCTTAGCTTAGCATAAAGACTAAAAACAGGATATTTTGGATCTGTCTAAAGGTAATAAAATATTGCTAACAAAAGTTGGAACTAATGCACAACCATTCTACAGGTGAGAAAAGGTAAGAGTCATTTAATAAAAATCCACATTTTATTTGTAAAACGTACAGTAAGTTATTGGAATTAAAACAACACTAGTCTTAAAGTTTGTGACTGTCATATCTTTGACCTTGATGATTAGTTTGATGTCTACCTGGGCCACAGATGTTTGTGGGTTCAGCATGAGGTTCTGGAAGGTTCTCCTGAGAACCCATCGCAGCTGGTGGAGGAAGGAGCTGTTGTAGGTGATGGTGCGGGACTTTGAGCAGGAGGAACACTTCTTCTCCTGCTCGATGAGCTCCAGCTCCGCTCTGGTGGCGCTGCAGTAGCTGCTGCTCCTGAACTCGTCCACCAGGCGCTCCTCGATGCTCTGCCGCAAGCCGCTCTGCTCCTCAAACTCCACATCTTGTAGGTGAACGGAGAGGAAAGTGACAGGTTTAAATATTTGAAAAACTAATTAAAAAAATAATGGCATTGGAAAAGATGCTGTGGACTTTTAAAGGAATACTTCACCTCCAAAAGTATCATTTGTTTAACAAGAACTCACCCAATGTTGCCGTGGATTTAAAAAACTTATTTTCCTGCATGTCTCCAAGGAGAACAACAAATCCAAACACTGTAAGCACTGGAGGCTTTTTAAAAAGCAAGGGTTTATCCATGTCAGTATTTAGGGAACAACTTTTTGGATTGTACTACACAAGTTGTGAACAGATGTGTTATTGTTTTTAACTCTTCGTTCACCATTGATGCATGAAAAAAAAAATCTTTACAAATTCAAGGTAATACAGGATGAGGAATTATATATATAAAAAAATAAATAAATCTTTACAAATTCAAGGTAATACAGGATGAGGAATTTATTTAAAAAAAAACCAAAAAAAAAAAAACCTCTTGACAATCATCCTCTGCAGACGCTTGAGGATCATGAAGAATATTTCAAATGTCATGCATACAGTTCAGTCCGGGGACTTTGGACACGTCTTTACAAATCCATCCTATTGCGAAGACAGAAAGGTGTTGCTCTCCTCGTCATTAGTTTTCATGCAGGGATTTATAAATGGCGTTACCTTCAGAGCCGGGCACCTTGGTCATGGATGCAGCCGTGGAGTCTCCGTTAATAACATCCAGAAAGAAGTCAGCTGGGTTGTTGTGGGGCTCACAGGGGAAACCTGAGACACAGTCACAATAATCCATGCATAAAAAACAGTATTCTCAGCAGAGAAGACAGGATGCAGTTCCAGGGCAGGTACAAAACAAACGTTTAAACGTATCATAGTCTCTATCACACTAACACATATAAACAAAGATTAATGTGGGTCAACGTAACAAGCACCTATATTTATACAACTATAAAAAGACTTAAAAGTGAGGAGACTTACTTACATTGTTAAAAAGGAAAGCTTGTGAAGTTCCTATAAATACTTTTCAATAATGTCCTGGTGGGATGTAATGTTTTAATTGTCTATGTGTCAAGTTCAATTATAAAAAAAGGCAATAAAAAACAGGTTAATTGTTTTATCTTTTATATTATTAAAACAATATCAAGTTTCAAGGCTTTTGTTGTCATGCGTGCATACATAGCTACAGTGTAGTTATGACAATGAACATCTTAGGTCACAGTCTCCTCCAACAGTGCAACACAATAAACAGGTAGAATAGTACAAGTTAACATTAATATCTACAGAACAAGCATCCATGTTCTCACCAATGTTGGCGAAGTAGTCCAAAGCGTTAGGCGCCGGTCCGTGGTAAACCATTTTCCCTCCGACCAGCAGAGTGAGGGAGTCGAACAGTCGGTAGATGGAGTATCGCGGCTGGTGGATCGACAGGATGATCGTTCTGCCCTTACTGGCCATTCTGAAGAGACACTTAGTAAAAGTATGTATTAATAATATGTACAATAAAGATGACTTTTGATGCAAAAAAAAATGTAATACTACACAAAGAATGCTCTGCCTTTGTATATCTCCTTTGTTAATTTACATTCAATTAATACTCAAGAAATAGTATATAATCCATGTTGCTGCATATCATTTTTTTACTGTACTAGATAATTGAATCTACATAAACACTGTAAAAGTATTTAAACATTATTAATGTGGCTTGCTCTGCCCTCCATACATTGTAGGTCTATCACAAGAATATTATAGATTGAACAAACAAACATTGAACGTGGCATACTTCGGTTATAATTATGTGTATTATTAAACTGTTTAATACATTGTCAAGCATAGCAGCAGAACTGAACGTGCATTTCAATCTCATCACATGATATATCAAGTGAAATGTTCAAAGAGGTATATTGTTATTAAATAAAACATAAATAACGCTAAATTAAATTAAGGTTTATTTTACAGGTACTAAAAACATGTAATGTCAAAATACATAGAGATTATATGAATTTTAAGTTAGTATTATTAGTAGTTTTTAAATGAGTATTCCACTTAGTTGTATGAACGATGTCGACTGGCTCTGAATTGTATCAGATGTGTTTGATGTGAATAATGCAATTACTGTTTATCATGTAAAATGAGGAAAATTCAATAAACAAATATATTCTGTATAATTATCTCAATTAAATCTATTTCTTTTTAATTACAGTTTATTTTTTGCAGGTTGGATTTTCAAACCTTTATTTAACCAGGTAGGTCCCATTGATCTCTTTTTCTTGTGTTTTTCTTTAGTTTTCACAACAATAATAACAGAACAACATGTGAACCTAAACAACAAAAAATAATACACACAAATCAGTTATAAAATAAAGCACAATAAATACTAGTTGCCTTCAATATTCACACTACTGTACAGGATTGAATTAGTCATTCACTTACTCGTTGGTGTCAACCATGTAAATATTCCACTTTTCCCATTTCCTATTGAATGCATTTTCTTGGATTCTCAAAACATATGTCAACTTTTCCATGACAGAAATATCTTGAACAATTTCCAGCCACTGCTCCTGAATCGGAGCGTTCACATTAAGCCAATTCCTAGCTTTCTCACTCGCTGCAAGTAAAACCTTAGTCAAATATAGATCGCCTCCCGTGACAACATCCTTAATGTTCCCAAGATACATCACTGGGAAGGTATTTGGGATTCCATAATCATTTTGACAACTGCATTAACCTTCTCCCAATATGACCTTATCTTTGTACAGTTCCAGAAAATGTGCGAGTGGTCAGCCTCCATGTTCCCACACAACCTCCAACACTCTTTATTTTGGGTGTTATCTATAGAGAAGGCCTGAGACTGAACTGTGACCTGATATTAATCCAATATAGATCAGAGTAATGGCGTCACCTCTTCAGCAGCAGCAGGACGGAGTTAGCGGTGCTGGCGTCCAGTCCGGTGGTCGGCTCGTCCAGAAAGAGAACCGCCGGGTCGATGATCAGCTCCATGCCGATGTTGGTCCTCTTCCTCTCTCCTCCTGAGATCCCCCTCGTCATCTGTGTGCCCACCTGAAGGAAAACACCCAGAAACATCTGTCCCGACTCTCACCTGAAGGTAGTCATTAAAGATGTGGAATTTAACTAAGAAAGTTGTCTACTATGTACAGTAGTTGTGTACTGAGGTACTTGTGCTTTACTAATACTTCCATGTATTGGATGTTACTCCACTACATTTTTTGGATAGCCTTACTTATTGGAAGATTCAGAATTGAGTAATTGCAAAAAAAATATGAAAAAAAATATTTTATTGTGTGTTAGGTCATTATAGGTTTAATTAAATTCACAAGCTCCAGGGCAGAATATATAATATCCATATGTTTAAAAAAGCTCCTCCTTACCGGCTGCCAAATTAAAGAGACGGAACAATTAATGCAGATACTTATAATTCAATAACATATATTATTTGTAGCTGAGTACATCTTTGTCCTTTAACTATATAGTGATGCTACCACATTTGTACTTAATGTATTTTACTCTTTACACAATTCTGAAGTCAGGACATTTAAACAGTAGAGTACTTCACACTGTTATTTCTACTCTCACTAAGGTGAAATACACGAGTACTTTGTGTATCACAGAGTATTGTGTGTCTTCACCTTGCAGTCGGCCACCTTGCTGAGCCCCAGCTCTGAGATGAGCTGATTGACTCGAGCCTCCTTCTCGCTCTGCAGCACGGAGCGAGGCAGACGCAGCGCTGCGGAGAAACGCAGATTCTCCCTGACCGTCAGCGTGCCCATCACCACGTCCTCCTGAGGGCAAAGGTCACAGGAAGACTTTGTATTTTAGTTTACATTTCGAAACTGCACTGCAGAGATGTGATGAATTAACAGAGTTTGGAAGCTAGTAACTTTGTATATTAAAAACTGGTATAAAAGTTTCCCTAAGCTTTACAGATCTCTTTAGTGTCTTTTAGATCTTTTGTGTTACAGCTCTTATTAGTGTGGTTTCTGGGAGGTCTTTTCCGTCATGGCCAAAACAGTATTTATTTCTCTTTGACTTTAGAAATATCATTTACTAAATACAACTAAATAAAAAAAAGTGGATTTTAAACATTCAAAAATGTTTAATCAATTATTCTTTTTGGATCACAATTGTTAGGGAATAATTTGCTTAGGTATTCAACCTTCGACCCAGTTCATCGTTTTCTCCTCTCACTGTCTCTTTTCCCATGGCACAGGTCTACGGCCTTGGGTATTGCTGCTATCTCTCTTAAGGAGGGGCAGCTTGGGCGCATTGTTGTTGCCAGTCTATGACAGAGCACAAGCCGCCATGAGGTAGTTTACTGCACAGTCTTTTCCTATGGACGAGAGCTCTAGTTAGATTCAGGGTCCATAATTGTTTAGTCTCACTGATAAAGAATGTTGATTATTACATTCAGAACTAGTTAAAACCTCGAGCTGCAGAAGAGTTCTTCAGAATTGGTTTGGCAACCGCTGTGTCAACTCGTGACACACCACCTGTCTTGTCAATTCTCCGGCCGTAACTCCAAATAAACCGTCAGTGTTTGCCATCAAAGCTCCTGCTCTCCCCGTGTCTCTCTGAGTACTGACTCTTAATTGCTTCAGAAGCTTCCCCCACAACAATCACTTAACATTATCAGAAATATCATGAATTGATTGAATTTTTATTCATAAAACTTAACAGTGGGATTTTTTTTTACTTTAAATATAATTCAACTGACTCACTTTTTTTGTATTGTTTTGATTACCTTTGAAAAACAGAACACAATTTAAGCTAACATTTGATTTAATGCATTGTAGTCAAAACCTCTAATAAAAACATTACACAAAGTTTTTTTTAGCCCCAGACAAAGTGAGGGACGTGCAGGTCAACGTAGTATTTAGTGATAAACAGCCGGATGTTTGTCTCAGGGGTTTGTGGAGACCAAACATCAGGTTAGCATTATTAATGTGGACAGGAATCCGGTCCTGCAGGTTTACGTAGTTAAAATAATTCAAAATGCACCTGAACCACATATCCAGAGAGGCACTTGAAGTTTGGAGGCTGCGGTGCTCTGTCGATGAGGACTTCTCCTGAGAGACCTGAGGGGTCCTTCCTCGCAGCCAGGATGTCCAAGAATCTTTCAACAACAAAAAAAAATCATACAAAAAATGTAACAATTATATCAAAACCAAATGCATTTTAAATACCTTTTTTCCAAGAGATCAGTGGGATACTCACGAAGATTTTCCACTTCCAGTCGGTCCAAGAATAGCGTTGAGTCCAGGTCTCATAATGCCACTGCAGCACAAACACACAAACCAATTTAGCAGGGATCATTTCATTTAAAGACCATGATTGGGACATTTAAACGGTTTGCATTCATTTAAAAAAAGGTATAATATCATATTTTCACTTCTGTACATCAGTTGTTATAATCCAAATGTGAGGAGTGTGAAACAGAGTGGAATAATTTGATTCTCTCACACGAGGAAACTTATTTTTCTCAAAGCACATTCCTCCCTCATTCATCCGAAACAGAATTAACGTCATTTGCATTTTTTACTGATATCATTAGCCTTTTTTGAAAGAAAAATTATACTGGGCTTTGGGAAATGTTATTAAAGTAAATCCTTTGACTTCAGAGGGAACAGTTACACAATAGCAGAAAAGAGTCAGTGATATAAAATGGAATCAAAATGAATAAAATCCCGGCAGCGGATCACGTGAGCGACTTTAAATCGTTTCCCTGGCAGACAGAGAGGTGCATCAGAGAGATTATATGCAGGAAACCATGCTTAATATCAGATAATTAACACAGAGGCGGGAGAAACTTGTGTGAAATGATTCATTCCTCCATGGGAAACGTCAGGTGTGTTTAATAATACCATCAGAAAGAAAATAATTGAAGAGTCTATTCACTATTGTTCCACTTTGAACAAGGATATAATGAAACATATTGAACTAAAATAAAGAAATACCGCTCTTTTATTGTAACGCAGTCTCCAAAGTTAAGAGTGTGTTTGATCACTTCATCTGAAAGTCAACACTATTCTTTGTCTTCTTTGCCAAGAACGTTATTAATGGAGCGGGGTAAGAGTTTGTTTAGTTAAGTTAGAACAAATGAGCATTCATCTGTACAATCATTTAAAAGATTTTCTACTGAAATCTGAGGAAATGATTAGTCAAATAAAGTCTCAGTGTAAAAGTGGCAGTCAATGTTGATTTATTAGTTAATTAAAATGTTGTATCAGTTAATAATCCGGATCTCTAACGTAACTAGCTATTAAAACAGTCAAATACATTTAGTGGTGTAAAAATATATAGTAAAGAAATATATATATCCTAAAAGTCAACCTCAAAATGGTTCCCTCAGTCAGTACACGACTTCAGTTAATATACCTTTCCTCTTTCCAAAGCTGATACAAACAGCTTTAACTGACAGAAGACAGACAGGTGAAGAGCGTGTGTGTTTTGAGGACTGACTTGAGGTCGAGCAGTATCTCCCGGTGGCTCGTCTTCCTCCGGCAGACGAAGCCGCTCTGCAGCTGCACTCTGTAGCGCACGTTGTGGAAGCTGACGGTGGAGCCTCGCTCGGGGCTCTGCTCCGCGCCGGGGGCGACCTTTGACCCCACCGTCCCGTTAGTGCCGATGTCTTCTATCATGGCAATGTTGATGTGATTGGCTCTCTCCATCATCCTGGGACCGTGATCTGAGAGAAAGACTTATTTTACTGATGTAAAACAACAGTGTGTGAATCTCAGGGTTTCACGCAATCTACATAAAACGGTTTGTACGGCTGCTCTTTAGCACACATGAACTACGCATAATTAGATCATCTCAAAAATTACATCACAAGGGACATTTCTTTGGCTTTTTTATTTAATTCAGTTTTTTCTATTGTTCTTCATACAAATCTTCTTTTTACAAATGATCTCTAAATTGTAGATTAAACTACCCAACAACAGCACATTCGTTCAAATGGGCACCGTCAAATTCAGTATGCAGACCAGAGTTAGGATAATTACACATCAGTTATATCAATCCAAAAACATCAAAATTGAATAATAATATTTCATATTAAAACACTGACAGGGACCATTTTCTGCAGAATGAGAAACCTTTATTTTTGTTCATTTGATTACATTAAAAACACATTAGAGCTCAAAATATATGATGCATAATGAATTCTAATTTTGATTGCCAAAATGCCTGATGCCGGTCATGGTTCTGCAGAATGAGTACTTTTCTTTTGATACTTCAAGTACATTTTTAACTCGTACTTTCACATAAGTACAATTTTGAATGCTGGACTTTTACTTCAAGTTCAGTATTTACAGTGAGGTATTAATACTTTTACCTAAATACAAGTTTTAATCACTTCTCACCACTGCACAGATCACATCACTCTGTGGTCAAATCCTGTAGCACAGATTCTCACACTACTTAATTTTAATACATGTCGTTTTTAGATTTTTTTTAACACTAAAACATAAATGTTCTTCTTGCTCCAACTAGTATTACGCAAACTAAGTCTTGCAGAAGGACAACTAAAACAAATAAATCATGATTTTCAGAAAGTGATCACCTGCTCCTTGGTGTTTTTAAGTAAAGAAGAGTTTGGTTGTGACTCACCGGCTGCTGCTGTGATCCTGCTGCAGCTTCAGAGGAGCGCTGCTGCAGACTGAGGACCAGAGGAAGGGGGGCACCCTGAGGGGGGGACAGGTGCCTCCACTCAGCTGGGACCCCTCAACGTTAACCCTTTATCCACCACACAGAGAGAGAGGACAGGGATTAAACAGAGACAGACTATCCTCCAGTGGTGTAACTTTAACAAGAGTTTTTAGAATAACGGCAACAATAGGTCATGTTGTTTTTATGTCTTGTGTATACAAAAAAAAATGTGTATACAAAAAAAGGGTTTGAATTTTTGAAAAAGTGCATGTTTGGACAATAAAAGTAAAATAAATAAATTGTACTTCACTAAAATCTCAGAGGGAAATATTGTCCTCTTTACTGCACCACTACCCAGCTGTATATCAAATGTAAGTAATTCAATGTTGTTGCTGTCTAAACAGCCGGTTGGACAACACAAAAGAGTTTAAGGTGTCACTTTGAACTTTTCTCGTGTTTACAAACAGAATTACCTGTAATCATTCAATCTCTAAAAAAAAACACAAGAAAAAATGAGTTAGCAGATTAATCAATAAAAACGAAAAGATGAATTCTGACTGACTGACCTCAACTGAATACAGCAGTCAAATCCTGATTCTTCATTAATGCATGAGGATATATATATATATATATGATATATAATTAAATGTTATCAATCACGAAGGAAATGTTCTTAACCGAGTACTTCTACTATTGAAACTTTTCAGATATTTCCTGATTACACAAACTTACTTGTACTTACCTTTAAAACATTCAAAAATGCTTTTACTGCATTATTTAGTGTTGCATAAAGATGGATGCACCTGTAACATCATTCCAAACAAATCACGACCAATCATCTGAGCCAGCCCGGCTAAAATAACTGGATCATGGCCACCTGCCTGTCGGCCTTCCTTCTCGTGCACAAACTTATCATGTGCACGTTCGTGTGTGTTGGAGAGGGGCTCTGTAAGGAAGCCGAAGAAAGGGGCAGATTTTTTTCGACTTTTTCAAATTCTAGCGCACTCGAGCTGGTTTCTCAATTCTTACCTACCCTACCTTAAAGGATCTGAATACTTCTTTAGCCGCTGGAGTATGTCGTCCTCATAAATTCAGTCGGTCTGTCAGGCTGAATTAATCAGTAAAACATTGTTTGGTTACTTATCAGTGACGAAACCTTTCTTTTACACTCCAAGAATAAATGGACAAGAAGGAAAATGTCCTGACTTTTAAATGTTATACATTACATTTTTTCTTTACTTTGAAAGATCGCTTAAATGGCAGTTTCACAAATACTCACAAGACACAAATAAATATAGAAACTAATAATACACACAAAAAAAGAAATACATACAAAAATGGTCTCAATCCTCAAATAAATGCACAGGTTAAAAAGGAAAATTAATTATAATAAGATAATATTTATAATTTATTGGATGAGAAATCAACCTGCATTTTAATATGATGTTTTTATTTTTACATATTTGATTTATTTATTGAGTCATTTCATATCTGTACTTCTCCGTACAACAAACAGAAGATTTAAAGACAGGACACATGATTGTTATTTGTTTAGTTTTTAATCGTTTGTGTCACAAGCCATTGAGACCAAAAATACAGTACTAACAGTGTCGTGTTGGAAAAGTGACATTTAGGTCCCGGATACAACGATTGTATTTGAAAAGGCAGTGAAACCAAAAACAGAAAAAACAAAGGAACACAGTGGGATACATGTGTAACAGATGAGGTTTGTATGGAGGATGAGTCAATCAGACAGTTTACATAACATCTAAAGCTGGTGTTGGAGGAAAAGAACTGAAGGTAACAAATATCACAGGTCGAAGAATGACGATAGATATGAAGCGTTGTATTTCTCAACAGAACTAAAGATCAACAGTGGACAGAACAGTCGATCTCTAACCCTTCACCCCGGACACTTATCCCCTCACATCAGCCAGGACAACCTACAGCTCCTGAACCCTGCAGGGTGCGAGTGATATTTCTGAGTGGAGGAGCGAAGTTAAGCAAACATTCACTTAGTCGAACATGGCTCTCAGCTGAACATCTCTTAAGTGTGCTTTTCTCTTTCTGAGTGACACATCAAATGAAGAATTAATGATTGTAAACAAGTTACAACCAAACAAAGAAGATGAAACTGAAGCAAAGGTCCTGCGTTTGTGACTGATATGACGAGTTATTAAGTTATGAGAACTTACCAGTTTTCCGGATGTACATAAATAGAATTATTTACAAAACATAAACTTTACATTTCTGTACCTTGAACACATCTTAGTGCCCTTAAAATACAGTTTCTTAATAGAAATATTAACACTTATACAAGCTTGGTAACAAGAATATCTTATATGCGCCACGGAAATGCTGATCATATAAATAGCATTAAGCACAAACTAGATCACAGAATATTCTGGGTTCATTTCTCTCAACGATTGTGCAATTAGAGAACATTTAAGAACGGACGTATCAAGACCTACCCTCTGACTTATTTTGGTCGTGATGCTTTTTGTCCAGTTGCTTCAGAAGTCGTGACCTTTCTATGTACATTTAAGTTGATTTTGATATAAAAGGGCTAAATTAATTGATCAATTGACAAATTAATTAGGGATCCACGATATAAATCAGGCCGATAAATCATCCCCTAATGACGGGAAATGTATATTGTTATGTTTCATTCTGTAAATAAAATGATGGCTGATAAATTATTAGCCAATAAGACAAAGCTATATAGAGTGCCACGGTGACGCGTCCTAAAACCCGGAAGTAAACTCACTAACTAGCTAACTTACTTCCGGGTTTTAGGACGCGTCACTGTGGCACTCTATTGCTTTGACAGACTTGAGAAGTGCAGCATGTACACACTGACACTGTGTGTTTGAGATCGGCCAATCAACAGAGGGGAGAAGCGCAGAACGCTGAATAGAGAAAATTTGGACTAAAAGAGATTGGATGGTTTTCAGAGGAAGACAACACAATTTCAAATTTGCAATACAAGTTATTAATGTACTTTACTAGAAAAAAAGTGTTTGTTGTTTTTGTTTGTCAACAATTATGATCTGATAGATAAGATCTATCATTATTAAATGATCTATTTTTTGCTTAGGCTCTCTTATCCTCAGGTGTGCAAACCTGCTTTTTTTTTACAATACCAGAAATGTGGAAATATTGCTTGGTTTATGAGCATTTGCGGTGAGAAGCAGGTATTTATCGGTTATCGATAAACGATCCATATCATGCATCCCTAAAATGCAGTTCCATTATTGTATTTCCTTATCTGTGCATGTAGTCCAATCCTTCACACTGAGAAACAGAAAGACTGCTGGCTTTAAAACAGCTGTTAAAATCCAGAAGTACTTTTTTTTGTTAAAATTGCAGATTATCCACGTTAAGTTAACTGTGAAAATAAAAAGTGCAAACTTGGGCATTATAGCTAAAAGTATTTAAAAGACTGACAGGATAGCAGTCTTCAAATCTCAGGTGATTCAGAGCAGGCCAAATAAATACAGGAGACGGCTGTCAGGTCATCGGGAACTCCTGTCTGCCACTCAAACTCTCCGTAGCTTTCAGCGTCTATAGGGTCATCGGCCTGCGCGAGATAAAACCTTTTATAAAGAGGATGTTTTTCATTTAGTGCACTTCATGAATACTGCCTCTGAGGAAAGGAGGCTCACATCATGCTACTCTAAATAATATTACGTTACCCTATTGTATACATTTTTGGGGCAAACCACAGTTTTTATAATATTTCCACAAGGGCACTGTTGTTGGATTGTATTGCACACATGGACCAGATCCGCAGCCCCCAACCTGACTACGCCCAGCGCCCGCTGGACACCACGCTCCGGCTGAAGGAGAAGCTGGGGCCCGAGCTCTTGTGCCGCCCCCAGGCTCCGAAGGGCACCACGATGACCGTGCTGTTGTCCTCCGAGCCATACTGCAGGGCCTGTGAGAGAAGAGGACCATCATGTAAAGAAAAACATAAAAAATCGCACAAAAGTCTGCCGTCTAGTATTTGCAACATAAATTCATTGGAGTTTTGGAGCAATTGTCTGAGACCAAAGACGACCTCCAGCAGGTCCATAAAGCATGAATCGTCACGGACATGTTTTACTGTATTCATTAGGGCTCATGTTAGGGCCCCTACACACCAATCTGACACCAAAGAACACGTCCCGACAGACCCGACTGTTGTGTCAAATAGCAACAAATAGCATGTGCGTTCCATTTTCACTCTACAGCGAGAAGCTCATGGGGCTTTCCCGAACCTGCGTCGAGAGCTGGAGTTCAATTAAATCTTAGATTTGCCTTCTTAATAGTTTGTTTGGGAACCCAAACAAACTATTAAGAAGGCAAATCTAAGATTTAATTGAACTCCAGCTCTCGACGCAGGTTCGGGAAAGCCCCATGAGCTTCTCGCTGTAGAGTGAAANAACTAATAATTGTTTTAAATAAATAAACATTCAAATGTGCAAGACACGTTCAATGAATATTTAAAACTTACACAAAATCAGATTCTTGTAAAAATTAGAGTACATGCTGTTGTGTTACGATATACTCCTGCCAATAGGGGGGCGCAGTGTAACCAGAGTAACATACAATGTTGGGAGAATACGTGTAGATGCTGTGGCGGTTAAGCATGAACAACAGTAAAGAGCTTACTACCCGTATCCTCTGTCCCTTGCTTCATTAATGTATTTTTACTAATACATAACACATGCATTGTTCCATCTGTCAAGCTAAGATATACATACATACATATATCTTAGCTCTTAGCTTGACATGCTCGCTCAGTAAGCATACACACATATATATATATTATTTATGTATTCCATTCCTTTAAATTGAATATTTAAAATACAAATTAGCTAAATAAACACAATTACACTGCGCTAAACAGCCAAACAACCGAGAACCTAAATAGTGTATGTAATTATTCTCTGTAAACCTCCACGTATCCTCAAGTATCCTTGCGTCAGCGTATCGCGTGTTGGGCGCGCTCTCTTCTGACTATATTTGGAAGTACAGCTTCCTACAGGTTCAACCTCCACCGACTGGTTGCGGCTGCAGTTGGACCCTTCTCGAAAAAAAC